CCTCCTGGGCCTGCATCCCTGCCTGAGGGGTCTCCTAGGACTTCTCATTTCACTTCATTTCTTCAAGGAACGGGCATCACCTCGGGTCCTGATGAGGACGTGAGCCGCTCCCAGCTGCCCTCCATCCCCCCTTTGTCGGACTCGCTTCAGCCCATCTGTTTGCCCAGAGTGTCTGATGAAACGGTTCAGTGTGGAAAACACTACATCTGTGGTTGGGTTTCAACTCCTCATTCGTCATCATGACAAGGCATTTCCAACAAGCCAAGCCCCGGAAAAGCAGACTCTCAGCGGAGAGCACGCAGCCTGTGAGCCCCCGCCATCCTCACAGGAAGACGCCCAGTGCAGAGGGGGGCTTTGACCCATCGGACGGGCGACAGACAGGAGAACACCCGGGACACCGGCCTAGGGCAAGGCTGCAAATAAAATCGCCGACAGAGACTGGGGGTGAGGCCCCACGTGCGTATGTTTTAAAAGCTCACAGGGTGGTTCTGAGAACCTCCGACAGCACGTTGAGCTGCCCCTTGGTCTGTCATCCTATTGACACCCATTCCAGAACGTCCGTGAAGTGTTTGATGCGCGGATGCCATGTGGGGCAGCGGGCGTCAAACGGCCCACAGGCGTGGACTCAGGCCCCGGAGCGCGTCGAGGCGCACGCCCGCTAGGAGTTCATCTATTACTGATTAGCGGAGGGGTCGATTACCGGCTGCTGTTTCCTTCTGGGTTCTCCGGGTTTTGCCGACACACGGACATACTTTTTACTTGTTTGAATCTTAAACTATTCAATAGGATTTGATTTCTGATCAGCAAACAACTTAAAAAATTCTCTTAGGACACTAAGCTACATCAACAAAAAGAAAAATGGAAAGTGACGTAATTCGTATTCTGTTCGGCACTGTGGTGTCAACGAGTCGTTAGTGGGTTTGAATAACTGTTTTTAGGGGCCCGGCTGTGGCGATGCCACTGACACCGCCATCACCTGGTCTGAGTCCACCAGTCTGACGTTTCTCTTCTGCTGCTGCATGCATTCCGATGACCGTATTTGTCATCAAACTGTTTTTAAAAACCAGCAAACAGACAGAGATGCCATTTAGGAAACGAATCCTCAGAGAGCTTGATTTCGTCGTTGCTAATTTTAAAGTTGTTCTACACCACCTTTCACTCAGGGTGTCCACCGCTCCCTCGTTCGTTCTGCAAACACGCCTGAGTCCCTACCACCTGGCACCCGGCCGCGGCTGTGTCACAGGGGATCCAGGGGCGGCGTGTCAGTGCCACCTGGAGACACGCAGGAGCCCCACGGGACCTGGAGGGGGCTCCAGCTGACAGAGAGAGACCTGGGTCCTCAGAGTGTAGATTTGATGGCCAAGTAGGACTTGTCCCTGGAGGCTGGGGGGGCACATTCCAGGACAAGAGACAGGGCAGCCACACAGAGTCACCGAGTGAGGGGTCTCCCCTCACGCCTGCCCGCGTTCTGCAGTTTCACTGTCGCCAAGTAGAGCCTGTCCCCAGCTGGCTGCATTTGTGCCCTAGATCCGGCCTGTCCCCATCTTGGCCTCAAGAACATGGTTAAGACAGCCCAGCCTCGAGTGCCAGCGTGAGGACTGAAATGATTGACGAGCCCCCGGAAGACCAGTGCCGTGTAGACAAGCCCACAGGCTCTGGCAGCGAAGGCGGTGACGGGGGAGGTGGCTCGCCCTGGGCGTGTTCAGAACGGCCAGCCTCCCAGCCCCCGTCCTCCTGCCCAGGGCCTCGCTGCCAGCCTCACCCTCTGCCCTTGACGCCTGCAAATGTCTTTCTCGCTCCTCTGTCAAAACCCCGACAGGTGCAGCCTGCTGTCTTAGGATTAGACACACGGCGGCGTGAACCCGACCTGACAACGCCCTGGCCTCGGGGGTTTAGAGCTGATTTTAAGGAACGCCATGGCCGCTTTCCAGACCTCCGTGGCTTTCCTCTGCACCCAAGCACAGACGGCTGCCCTCACCCGAGACACCCATCCGCCCCTCTTCCTCCGCACTCTGGAGGGGGTGAGGGGATTCTCCTCGCTCTTCTCCGGGTTTCCCGCATCAGCACCATCCTGGGTTCCCAGCACCACTCCCCGGCTCGCCCCGTCATGGGTGAACTCGACCCCTAGACGACCTTCAAGCTTAAACCCAGCTTCCCACGGGCTCCTCAGCGGCGCCATCTGCGTCTGACTGGGCTCCTCATGGGCCGGGGCTCACGGGGTTCAGAGTCCCAACTCTGGTCACGGCTGTGAGCAGGCGTCCACATGGCCAGCAGGGACCAAGCACCCTCTGCCCCTATCCTGAGGGATAATTGCTGTCTGGACCACAGAAATTGCTCCCCACCAAAATGCACCCCTACACGCGTTTACATGCGTGCACATGCGCACATACATGTAGCACGCATTCACACACATGTCTATTTCACGTCTCAGACACCTGGCATGAGAGAGTGACAAGCCGTCGGGACGCGATGCTGAACCCCAGCCAGGCACCCCAAAGCCACCAGGGAGGGCTCCGGGATGCTCTCCCCCACATGACTCAAGTCCCCACATTCGTGTCCTAGGGCCCATGTGCATGGCCCTGCCCCAGCCTCCACGGCCCTGAGCATTTATAAAGCTGGGCTCAACGCGCTCCCACCCCAAATGCACAGGCAGGACCCCACGGCCTTCAACGGTGGGCGCACATGAGACCCTTGGAGACTCAGGTGGACCAAGGAGGGTCTGTCGTGGTGCCTGGGGGTCTGTGCCAGGTGGTCTCCTCACCCTCAGACTCTCCTTCTGCCGGAGGCCCTCAGGCAGGACCAGGCAGGGTGGGGTCCCGGGCCTGACTGGAATCGAGGTCCCACTCAGGGCAAAACAGGCCTGGACCCCTCGAAGGGGCACAGAGGGACCAGGGGGCCGGATACACCCAGTCTGAGCCACCAGCTCCCTCGTCACAGGTGCATGGAGGGGGCAGCGTCCGTGTGATGGGCAGTCCTGGCAATGGGACAGGTGTCTGGCAGGGCCCTGTCTCTCCTGCCCGGCAGGTGGCAGAGTCCGGGACACGACACCTGCTGGTCAAGAGGGACAGAGGGGCAGTTCCGGGCTCGGGCCCCCCAGGATCTCCCTGTGGCTTCTCATCACAGTTACTTCACAGGTGGAAACAGGACAGCTTATGGTGGAGACGGGCTTCTCCAAACGTGAACTAACAGCCCCTGAGGTTTTCTTCCTCTCTCCCAAGCGCTTCGAGCCCGCACATTCACCCGAATTTCTGAAAGATGAGTGTGACTGATTTAGGGGCCCTGAGAGCAGAGCCACAAGGACGGGGCTGTCACCCCGGTGAGGCCGGCTCTGGCCCCTTCTGCATGGACTTTAAACTAGAAGCCGTTTGGACGCAGCGACAGAGAAGCGACGGCTCCCAGGAGAGGCATGGCCGTCTTTCCGCCTCCCGCTTCTGATAGCTCTCCTCCCGAACGGCACCGTCTGCCCCTTTGGTTCTCACCATCCACGTTGTTAACGATGGCTAAGCCAAGATGAAAAATAAAATCTCTCTCGGTCCCAAAAAACTTACCTGGGTTTCGGCTTCTAATTATTCCAGAAGTGCCTTTCCCAGGTTTCGGCTGGTTTGGAGAGCCCCTCTGCCCTGGGTGCCCTGCAGCCCCCACGAGGCTCCGCCCAGACCAGTGTCCACCTGGGCTGAAAGGTCCTCTTTCTCAGAGGGCCTGAACCTGTAGTCCTGTGATCCCATAGTCAGGCAACGCATTACAGGCTGAAGGAGGATTGTCAGTGTATAATCACTCTGACGAAGCTTTAACAACGCCCACTGTTGGGGGTGATGTCCAGGAGCAGAGAAACCCACCACTAACAGAACAACTCAGGTCTCAGGGCCCTGCCCTCACTTCCCGCATGGAGGCCCCCTTGTGAACGGGATAATGTTAATTTGCTGGGGCTGTGGTAACAAGGTGTTCTAAAACACAGCGTCTTGTTAGAAAATCTGGGTACGGGAAGGCCAACATATCAGGATGTGACTGTGGTGGAAAGGACAATGTGTGCCTCTCAGTTTCCCAGAGGATGGACGTGCCCCACCCCACAGGGCCGTGCGGAGAAGTGACAGGATGGGCGAGGAGGCGGAGGGACTCAGGGACTGTGGGCGCGAGCCTTTCCCAGGTGAGGCAGTGGGGGCTCAGGATGGGCTGGTTGGAATAATGTCACTGGGCTTTGGGGTGCAGAGGCTGTCTCTGCTCATCTGGTGTCTGGTCCTGGGTGACGAGGGCAGGGGACAGTGGCCCAGAGTGTGAGAGCCCCAGAGAGGACGTAGTGGGGTGTCGGCTCTGGACTGGCTGGTTTGTATTTGAAAAGTGCCCCCCTGGGAGGAGGAGGGGGCAACCAGGGAGGCAGGAGGCCAGGTGCATCATCGAGGCGTCCAGAACAAGGCCCGCCCAGTGTGTGAACGCAGGGCAGGGGTTACAGCATCAAGTCTACAGAATAGAAACACGGTGCATGCACAAGGCACTGGGAGGTACCCAGGACGGGGCAGCTCAAACGACAGACGTCCATCGTCTCCCAGTCCTGGAGGCTGGAATCCGAGATCCAGGTGTGGGCAGGGCTGGTTCCTCCTGAGGCCTCTCTCCTGGGCGTGTGGATGCCGTCTTCTCTCCATGTCCTCACATGGTCGTCTTTCTGTGTGTGTCTGTGTCCTGAACTCCTCTTCTTATAAGGACTCCAGTCCTATTGGATCAGGGCCCATCCTAGTGACCGCATTTAACCTTACTCATCTCTTTAAAGGCCCACCCTCCAAATATAGTGACATCCAAGGTCCTGGGGGTTAGGGTTTCAACACACGAATTAGGGGGGTGGGATGCAGTTCAGCCCATGACACAGCACAGCAGCCTTAAGAACGGACACGTGCTGTATACGGGCCAAAGCCCCCTTCCAAACACCCGTCCCAGCCATCCTCACGGAAGACCACCCACACGAAGAAACAAAGAACGGATCATTATTTAATTTGTGAAAAGACCAAAAGACCCAAATGGGATTTGCCATCAGGAAACTGTTCCAGAGGTAGCGGGGCCGGACACTTGCCGCATACGGGGCCACGAGCCCTGTGCCAGTCCCCCTCCTGACAGTCCTGCTATGGGCCGCTGGGGGCACAGGAAACGCAGGAGACCATCCTGTTGTCAGGGGCGGAGCCAATTTCATCATCGTCGTTACCACCTGTCCTCACGTGCTCTCGACCAACACAGCACTAAATGGCTGAGTTCTTGCAAATTGTCCCTTTTCCAGAAAATGAGTAAAAACTACACTTGGAAGTATCCTAGAAGAGTAGGCTATGATGCTGGTGTGCTCAAGACGTTTTGGGAGAAAAGAATTGAGCTTCACACAAAACAGCAGCAAAGCGAGGACATGAGGCTCCGCCGGAGTGCCTTGGACAGGTGAGCATGGGGTGGGCGACACGGGGGCTGCTCCTGCACAACGCACCGTCCCACAGCCAGGCTCAGCCCACACCTTGGCCAGGGGCTTGGCTGCAACAACCACAGCCGCCAGCAAACATCCTCTCAGACTAGCTTTTACAGGAGGAGTGGGCTCCACTGGGAAACACCACTGCCACGAACGAAAATTCAGAATCACAACACTGACTGTAAGTGGGAGAGAAGAACACACACCACCCCATCCCCACACCCCATCACTCCACCCCTCCATCCCATACCTCGTGACCTCATCACTTCATCACCCCAGCCCTGCACCCCATCACTCCACATCCCTCCGTCCCCACACCCTTCACCCCATCCCTCCATCCCACACGCCATCACTCCATCCCTCCATCCCACACCCCATCACCCCATCCCTTCATCCCACACCCCTCACCCCATCTCTCCATCCCACACCCCTCACCCCATCCCTCCATCCCACACCCCATCACTCCATCCCTCCATCCCACACCCCATCACTCCATCCCTCCACCCCACACCCCATCACTCCATCCCTTCATCCCACACCCCATCACTCCATCCCTCCATCCCACACCCCATCACTCCATCCCTCCATCCCACACCCCATCACCCCATCCCTCCATCCCACACCCCATCACTCCATCCCTCCATCCCACACCCCATCACCCCATCCCTCCATCCCACACCCCATCACTCCATCCCTCCATCCCACACCCCATCACTCCATCCCTCCATCCCACACCCCATCACCCCATCCCTTCATCCCACACCCCATCACTCCATCCCTCCATCCCACACCCCTCACCCCATCCCTCCATCCCACACCCCATCACTCCATCTCTCCATCCCACACTCCTGAGGGGACTGAGGGAAGCTGTCACAGAGGGCATGTCCCGCTTAGTGTGATTTTCTGACAGCCGCCCCCACTCAGTTGGGGTAAAGCTGTGTGCTCGTCACACTCTTTCCCCCACATGTGCATGACCTGTGGATCCAGAGCCAACACCCTTTCTTCCCTGGCGGGGGGGGGGGGGGGGGCCAGGCCTTGTGGGTGTGAGGGGTCTCCTGGGCGACCGAGCGGGCCCAGGAGTAGAGCTCTCAGGGACAGCTAAGCATGCAGATTAGCGCGTAATTCGCACCAGACAAGGACTCAAAGGGCCAGAAAGTGGGCACAGCTTAGTCCCCAAATAGCACTGGCAGCTGCCACCCCGCGAGCGGAGTTGGAAAGGAGGATTTCTGGCGGCCGCGGCGGGCCGGGCTTGGTGCTGACCTTGCCAGTGCCAGAGGTCTGGTTGCTGTGCTGGCCAGCCCCCTCTCCCCCATAATCCAGGACACCTGCCCCTGTTGGCACAGGTATGGGGTCCTGGTGCCCTCCTCCTCACAGAGCCGGGCGCTGCACCCGCCTCGCCTCTCAGGGCCGGGACCTCAGCACAGAACCCAGCTGTGGGAGGCAGGGACCTCAGAGTAAGGCCTCCTCCCAGCCCTCAACTCCCTCCTGGGGTCTCTGTGGCCTCATCCCCAGCCTGCGTGTGCCATGGGGCCCCGGAATCTTCTGGGTCTTCTGCACACAGGTGCAGGGCCGAGGAGAGGCCGGGTCAGACGGTGAGGGTGTATCAGCAGGGGCTGGCTCAGTCACTGAGGTCCCAGGCTGTTGCGGGATGGACTGTAGGGCGGGACATTCTGCACCTCTGGGGAGACGTGGCTGGTTATCTGGGCTATGGACCCCGGCCAGAATATGACCTGTCCACTGGACAGCCACAGCTCCTGGAAACGGCCCCACAGCCATCCTGTGGTGCCCAGGAGTCGTCTGCTTTTAAGCCTCTGGCCCTGGGGCAGCCAGTCAGTAGCCACAGCCAGGTGAAGAGGCAGGAACGTGGCCGACACGTGTGGCACTGCCACACACAGGGCCCCGGCCATCCTCACCTGCTGCTCAGAGGCGCCTTCTTCCTCCAGGTCCCTGGGTCCTGGGACAGCTGTCTGTGTGAATCCTCTTACTAATTTGCCCACCAACCCCAGAGGTCAGCAGGAGCCAGGCGCCCACCCCACTCTCCAGCCTCCGGAGCCAAACCACACATTCGCATCTGAAGATATCAGGCAACCATTGCCTGGCAGGCGGATGTCCAGGTTTGGGGCAGCCTGGCCGCCCTTGGCCCAGCCATTCCACCCCTGGTCACCCCTGTGGTCACAGCAGCAGACCGCCTTTCAGTGTGGTCGGGTCAGGCAGGTGGGCACAAGGGAGGAAGTGAGCCCCCGACGAGGCCCAGTATGAGGATGCTCAGTGAGGGCCCCAGGCCACCCCGGGGGCTCCGTGTTCAGCCCCCAGGAGCACACACTCCTATGAAACAAACTAGGTGCCCTCACAAAGTAGGGGTCCAGGTCACAGCTCAGTCTCTCTGGGGCTCAGACGTTTCCAGCAGCTGCTTCCTGGACAAAGAGATTTCCCTCTCCGGGTGAGGGTCCTGGGTGAGACCCTCCATGACTGACAGTGGCCCTAAGCCTGAGTGGCCAGGCCACTGAGATCGCAGGGCTCTCTGGGACCCACAAGGTCACAGCTGCCGGCTGGGTCAGGACACAGCAGCTGTTCCCAGGCAGGCAGCCCAGGGAGGGGCGGCTGAGCTCGCACACGTGCCCAGGTGCCGACAGAGGGGGACCTGGCCGGCACGGTCCCTGGAGGTTGACTCACTGTGCTGAAATTATCGCCGATGGCAGGCTCCGCAGCGAGTGGGCTCAGAAGCTGGAGAAGAGAAACGAGATGCTGCAGAGCTCGAGGGAGGCACCCCAGCCCTCGTCCCTGCTGGGAGTCCAGCCCGTCCGCGCCCCGGACAAGACTGCGGCCTGAACCGCGCGGAGCAGAGATGCCGTCCGAGCCCCCAGGGGTGAGTGGGCATCTTCCTCAGAGTCACCGAGACTCTCACCTCGTTGATGCTCTGACAACCTAGCTTTTGGCTCACGCTGCGCTGAATGCTGCCGTGGAACAGCTTTTCCAGCACATAGTAGGTGCCCAATAAAATCTAAGGCGATTGGAGTGAATGCTGTGTGCAAAATTTTCTTCATATCTTTAAAATTTACATGTATTAAAAGCTTACCATGATATTATTAACTTGCAAAGAGCCCGTTATTAACTTGCCGGGTCCCGGGGTTTTCTGACCTTCTCCTGCCTGCACACTCATTTCACCTTTGATCAAAATATGTGCACAAGTCCCACTAAGGATAACACCTGACCTGACATTGTATAAAGTTTGCTGCTTTTCCAGAATTCCTTTAAATACTTCATTGGTGACCCAGAATATCTCAGAAAACTAAGCGTCCTTATTTTTATAATTGGAAAAGTTCAGTTGGAGAGACACACATTTCCTGAGTCCACAAAGGCCATTAGAGTCAGGATTTGATGCTTTACACTCAGTGGTGTCCCTCCTGGCGCCCCGGCTGTGGCCATGACCACCTGGACGGGCAGGAGGGCAGAGCACACAGCAGAGGCCAGGCCACCGGAGGACTTGGGGCCTGTCTCAGCTACCAATGGGGACCAGGACTCAGCTGGTGCCGACCCAACTCCACAGCCCATGTGCTCACTTGAGCATGCCCTGCGGTAATCCACTGTGTCCCGTCCTTGGTGACACAGACACTGCCGGTTTGGGGGCTGGTATCCAGCTTGTGGCCCCTCTGGAATCTTGCATCATCTCTCCAGGCTTAACTGCTTACTGGTTTTGGGCTCTGTTTTGTTTTGACCGTCCAATCAAGTTGGCCCGGAGAGGGAATGAGCGCAGCTTCACTGGCTGTGGGCGGCTCTCCAGGGAGTTAACCAGAGAAAAAAATGGTGATGCCGATAGCCAAGTGGTGTTCTGTGCCCAACGCAGACTCTTCATGGGGCATTTCCAGAGCTCACCACTCGGACTGGGGAAAGGCCCGGAACCTGCACAGAGCATGGCTGTGGGGCTTGCCAAATGAACGAGTGGAGAAAAGCCAGACGCCCCTTTAGACCGACCATAAACACAAGTTCCCTTGGTCCCCTGCCCCGGGGTGTGTGTCATCGCCCGTGACTCAGGAGATTCCATTGATAAACACCCTGGGGAAATAATAGCCCTAAAAATAGCTGGAGAATAGAAGTCACTCGCTAATACTCGCAAAGCCCCAAGCTGCCGGAGGGTAATTTTATCTGACGACATACTTAGTACATTGTTACCGCCAACACCAATAAACTGAGGCCCTGGGTCAGACAGTTTGGGGTGAAAGGGCACATTCAGGCAGCAGTCCCATTGTGAGGCTATGCAGAACCTTCCAGAACAGCCACACCCTCCTTGCTGCCTGTCATGATCTCATTATTCTCCAGTGACCCATTCGCCATCCCAGTAACGGCAGAAGCCAAAATCGCATGAACACCAGGCAATTTGCAGACCACAGCTTTGCCGTCTTTATCATCCATCTCTCTTGGGGCAAAGCTGAGCTGGACTCCGAGGTTGGAAGGCGCTCAGTGAGGAGGAGAGAGTGGGAAGAAGACAGGCTGGCCTCGCAGGAGGTGAGCAGGGCCCCAGCCCCAATGGCCCCACAAGCAGCCAGGACTGAGCCCCAAGCCCTCCCCTCACACCAGGCCCTCTAGTAATTTGCCATGGGTGGAGAGGGTGTTTCTGAAATCTCAGCTCCGGGGGCTGAATTAGCTATTCCTTCTCTTAGGGAAGAGGAAACTGAGACACAGAGAAATGAGGACGTGGCTCAGACCATTGCTCTCTCATGGGACCTGGAGTAGGTAAGGGAGAGGCAAGTGAAGGAGGAAGGGTAGGGATGTGGCCGCGGGGTCCCTGGGTGCTGCCTGGACACAGGGACAGAGCCCTGAGAGCAAGACAGAGTTCTCCCCTCGCCCGGGGCCATTTCTGCCCTTTGTGCCGGGCACAAAAGCCCGTTCACACCAGGTCTGTGCCGTGCGCCTCCCGTGGGTCACTGAGCGCCAGCCACACTAGTTCTCCTGTGGAGAGAGGCGTGATAAATCAATGGCAAGCAATAGGATATATTAGAGTATACGAGGCAGCCATGTGGTATAAAACTAATTCGGCCTGACCTTGTGTTTCCCAAAAGGGCCTGAATGGCCGTTGAGCATGCATTGTACATCCACTTCAACTATTTACTATGCCTCAAAGACAAGAACAGTGCCCTCTAAAACAAAGAAAGACATAACTTCCCCCACATCAGCCTTTCCTTAAGGATGAGGCCTCTCTCCCCAGACTAGGAATTGATTGCTGACCTGCTGTGACCACCCAGCTCGAGACCACAGACCTGCTAACCGCTGTGTCCATCAATTTCTGTGTGAATCGCTGTGCTGACAGGGCAACCTCATGACTGTTGTGAAAGGGACATTCCAATCATATGTGACACATCCTCTTTGAGGGTATATAACCACCCTATACGCCCCCACCTCTGTGGAGCGCTCCGTTCCTTTGTGGAAGAAGTCTGCCAGCTGTATGGTGCTCAGGTCTGGCTTATAATCCACTCCCCCCAATTTTGATTTATAGACTGGTTATGGATTATTTGCATCAACAGGCGCCTTGCCGGACTGAGATTACGGGTACCTGTGATCCATCTACTGAGCTTGCTGACGCTTCTCTACAACAGTCTTGCTGCTCAGATCTGACGTTTATTTTCAAACAACAGGATGATGCCAGCTTGCTGGTTCGTTTCTGTCCTGCTAAATGGTTGAATGGTTTTCCATACCTCGCACCAAATTTTGGCAAATTGAATATGGTTGACTAGAACGATATACCTCTGAATATTAAAAGTAACTCTGAAGTTGTGGCTCCTTGTTTTTCATAACTGAGACAGTGTTGGGAAGTTAGGACAACACACCCTGGAGGCAAACTGCCCAGATGACCACTCAGGGCTGCGTGGCCGGGGCCTCTCCTCAGCCCGCTGTGCCTTGGTTTCCTCATCAGTAAGAAGAACAGAGGACCACAACCCCTTATTCAGATGTACTTGGGACTCAGAATATCTCCACTTCTGGAAGGTACCACAGAGCACATCCCGGAAGTTCCCTAACACCTGTCATCAGGCATCCCAGTGTTTCTGCTGGGAAAACGCATGGGAGGTTCCTCCCGCTGGGACATGAGAAGGTCTTGCTGCCAAGGGAGCTACAAAAAAGGCTTCCAGTTTTCAGGACAATTTGGACTTGGGAGTTACAGAAGAGGGCCTGGGGAGCTGTGGCGGGGAAAAGCAGGGCAGCCGGCTCACGTCCCGAGGTGCCGGCCTATGGCTCTCTGCAGCGCAAGCCGCGGGCAACGCGGGTCATCGCGGGCGGTACCCATGACAGTTCGCGGGAGAGCAGAGCTGGCGGCACCCGCTGCTCCCTGCGGAGGCCTGTCTGGTGTTGGGGTCTGAGTTCCACTCCAAGGTGCAGAAAGGAAAACTCAATCAAGAACAGAGCAGCTTAAATGTGGACAGCGTCCCTAGACATCGCCGGCTGTGTCCTGTCTCCTTTTTTTCAGTGCGTCTTTTCAAAATGAGAGCCTTTCCCTGCCTAGCCAAAATTAAATTACCATACTTGACAATACGTAAAGATTCCTTCACATCAGCCAAGATTGAGTCCATCTTCAAAGGTCCCCAGTTGCCCAAAAGTTCCTGTGACAACAGGTTTGTCCGAACAAGACCATGCAGGGAACCTGGTGACGTCCCGGACTGACTCGAGGAGACTGCTGTCCCGCGGATGCCCCGCTTCTGACCTGGGGGTGCTGCCTTGTGCTGTGTTTGCTCCTCTATCCTCTCTCGTTCCTTAAGAATGGAAATTCACTCTGAAGGCTGGACATGTTCAAGATGGACACTGGGCTGGGCCACCTCTCACAGAGGACCCGCACGTGGGCTCCGCCGTGAGGCCGGGTGTGATGTCTGTGCAGATCCACCGGCCTCCCTCTCTCTCTGAAACCAGACGAGTATCCGGGTCCCCACAGGCCCTCATCTGAGCGTCTCAACACAGATTCTATCCTTGGCCTCATCAATCTTCTCAACAGGGATTGACAAGGATGGTTTTCTAATGCTGTCACTCCTCCCTCATTATCAGCCAACATTCCTTTTTAAAGTGGGTCTTTCCTCACAACCAGAGTGCCCTGGTTCTGCCGACATTCGGTGCCTAGCAGGAAGCAGGAAGCAGGATAATGCTTAAATGTTTCCTTTGGCCAACAATATTCAACAGGAAGAGCTGGTTTAATGTCCAACTTTCTCTCGTGTGAGAGCGATTATGGAATAGTGGATTTACACAGGTCAGATGTAGTCAGTCAACCCTGAGCAACATTCTTTTTGATGCTCAAAGTGTCACAGATTTGACCAGTGGGACCTTTTTCAAATTGGCCTGTTGTCTTTTTGACAGAACTCCATTAATCCTTGAAAGCTCTCTTGCTGTCTGGAACAACAAACTGTTCTGAGTTCATTGTGTGCTCATTATGTGCAGAAGAGAAAATGAATAAACAAACTGTGGTATATTTGATAGTAAAATAATATTCAGAAATAAAAAGTAGCAAACTGCTGATACATGCGACCATGTGGCTGAGCCTCAGACCCCAGCCTGCACACCCGCCAGGCTAGAGAACCATCCTTGGTTTTCTCTGCTCAGGCTCCTCCCCACCTTCACACATGGTGTTATCTCTCTCCAGTCATCATTGTCCCACATCAGCCACCAATCCTACTGTCCCCATATTCATTTTCCCTCCTCTCCCCTGGTCTGTTGCCCACCAACACCCCTGCCCGGATCCCAGCCCATGGTGAACAGTTGTAGGGTCCCCTTGTCCTGGGATGGAAATGCCCAGCAGGGATGGGTCCTGGTTGCCAGCCGGGCGGTGGGATTTCAGGGGGCAGACAGGAGGCCATGTCAGAGCACAGTGCAGGGCACTTTTGGGGGGCACTCTTGGGGCCAAGTGGAAGACGTGAGGCAGGCAGGACTGGGCAGAGAGAGAAGTGGGGCTGTGGTCAGTCCCCTCAGGGACCCAGCAAGCCCTGTGAACAGGGCCCTGCAGACGCATCCAGGTGAGCAAAGGGCCGGGGGCCTTTCCTCCTGAGCAAAGGGCAAAATCCAGCCCAGGGCAGTTGTCTGAGAGGGATGACGGCAGAGGGACAGCCCTGGAGAACGGGTCCTCAAAGGGGACCTGGGAGCACAGCCTGGCAGTCACTACAGTCCCTTCACCATCGCTAGAGTAGAAGGCAGGCGTGGTCTCAGGAAGGGCATGCATAGAGGAAGAAGGCAGAAGCAATATAAAGATGCACCCATTCCGCATGGTTCCATCCAGGTGACATCCTGGAAACGATAAATCTGAATCCAGTCCAGGACTAAACTGAGGGCCATAAATAGACTTTTCTCGACCCAGGGAAAACAAAAATTTGTTGCAGAATTCAGTGTTTTGTGAGATGCTAGTTGTTCTGGGCTAGCTGATCTGTACTGCAGTGGGCAGAATAGTACCACTCCCCACCCCCGCGCCTGCCATAGATATCCAGGTCCTGATCCCCAGACCCTGTGAGTATGTGACCTTCATAGCAAAGCGACCTCACAGATGTGATTAAGTTACAGATCTTGCAATGGAGGATTACCCTGGGTTATCCAGGTGGGCCCGATGTCATCACAAGTGTCCTTATAAGAGGGAGGGAGGTCACAGAGAGATATGTGCATTCCCGTGTTTATTGCAGCATCATCCACAACAGCCAAGACAGAGAAACAATCTAAGTGTCTGTAGACGGATGAAAGGATAAAGAAAGATATATATATATAATGTAACACTATTCAGCCTTGAGTAAGAAGGAAATCCTGCCATTTGCAACAACAAGGATGGACTTTGAAGGTATTATGCTAAGTGAAATACGCCAGACGCAGAAAGATAAATTCTGTTTGATCTCACTTATATGTGTAATCTGAAAAAAACTAATTGATAGAAACAGCAAGGCGAACGGTGGTTGCAAGGGCTGGGGGAGGGGAAACAGGGAGATGCTGGTCAGTGGGTACAAACTTCCAGTAGAAGAGGAATGAGTTCTGGGCGTGTAAGGTACAGCACGGTGACTACAGTTAATTGTTAATACTGTAACGTGTGCTTGCAAGTTACTAAGAGAATAAATCTTAAATGTTATCTTCACACACAAAAAAATGGTAACTATGTGAGATGATGGAGGTGTTACCTAACCTTATCGTGGAATCATTTTGCAACAACACATGTATCAAATCAGTACACTGTACCCCTTGAACTACACAATGTTATGTGTCAACTCTATCTCACTAACACTGGGGAAAAGGAGGGAGGCAGAAGGGTGGGAGTCAGGGAAGATACAGGACAGAAGCAGAGACTGGAGGGGCCCTGAGCCAAGGGGTGCAGCAGAACCTCGCAGCTGGAAAAGGCACAAAAAGGATTCTCGCTGGAGGTCCCGAAGGAACCCCGCTGACACCCTGGTTTAGCCAGTGAGCCCATTTCACACCTCGTGCTCCAGAACCGGAGACAATAAATGTGCTCTTTTAAACCGCCACGTTTGTGGTGATTTGTTATAGTGGCATAAAAACTAAAACCTATAACAACTGGTGCACTTCATCCGTACTGTCCCCTAGGTGGGGAAACGAGTTAAAATCCACCAGATGGAGAGAATTTAAATAACGCGGCTGTGTAAAAAGAGAAGAAAAAATGGCCTTGAGAGAGCAAAGAAAGTGGAAACGAATTCTGCCACCCTTCTAGGCTCAGATCTGAAACAGGAACCAGAGAAAATAAACTGGATCTGCGAAATGTCACTCAGAAGATGGCCAACATGTGGCTGAGTGGGGAGGCTGTGCTGCTAGCTGCAGAGGTCTGGATGCTGATAACAGACACCAAAGTAGCCATGGGGACAGGAGGAGGCGCCGCTGGCCATGATTCTGGGATGTCCCTGTCTCTGGAAGATGCTCCATGGCCAGTGTGTTTGTGCTCAGTAAAGCCCATTTGTTACACACAAGCTGGCATGGCTCATAATTCAGGGGGAATAGAAGCAGAAGCACATTTGCGGAAAACCCATCAACACAAGCAACTCTTCTTGTGCACAGAGGGAAGAAAACACAATGGCCATTTTTCATAGTTCCGTGAGTGTGACAGCCAAGCCTCATGAGACGTGCTCACCCCAAGGATTAAGTCTGACTCCCGCCTTCGCCAACAACAGCAAACCTTGTATTTCTTCCCTACAAACTCACCACAGTTTTCCTTTTTTCATCTGAAATGCAAGACTCAGGCCAAGTTGGCCAGGAGCTCCCTGGATTCCTCAATGCCACTGTGCTGGCCTTCTTCTCTTTTCTCCACCGTGCAGATCTGCCGTCTCCACCCAGCCTCACCCCCAAGAGGAGATCTGATAGACTTATTCACGATGAGACATCAGGACAAGATGCTGTGGAAGAACACAAAAGCTGGGGCTTGAACTGTATCCGGCGCCCACTGGAGTTAAGAGATGAATCGACAGTGTAGGGCCTTGTGGTTCCCAGAGCCAGATGTGCAAGGCTGCTGTGGAGCAGCCCCCACGAACACACAGGGCCACTTCCTGTGTGCAGACCACAGAAAAGAGCTCCATTCCCCACCCCCACCCCCCGGCCCCCGGGAGCTTTCTCAAGTCAATTCCAGTTCAGAGGTGCCCTGACTTCTAATTCATGGGGTTGTCAGGGGTATCACACAGGAGCAAGCGCATGAGAGAGAGAACCCCCAGGTGTGAATGCCCCCAGGTATGAATGCCCCCAGGAGAGCCAGCAGGTGTGAATGCCCCCAGGGGAACCAGCAGGTGTGAATGCCCCCGCCCCTGGGGCAACTGGATCTGTGGAACCAGGAGTCAGAACACAGTGTGGACAAGATAATGGACCGGTGACCTAAGTTAGGACCTTTTGGGAGTATCTGGTCATTGAGTGAGTCACTGCTCTTCACAGGATACCTGGGAAGGCTTGATTTCTGTTACCTGCCCCGGGTACAGGTTTATCTCATCTCTCTGAGGTCTCTTCATTAAGATCAGCCTGCGGGAAGCCACCAGCACAGCTCCTCCATGGCCTGCAGCCCCTTCTGCCCCAGGACGCCTGTCCCGGACAAGCTCCACCTGCAGCTGTGAGCAGGTCAAATCCTCGAACTCCAGGTGCATGATTGCCTGCTCCACACCCAGGCTGTGCTGCTCACAGCACAGCTTTCAAAGCTGGAGAGGCCTCCGTGAAACACGCTCCGTGATCCAGTTCCTCCCAAAGCCGAGGGGGCTGCAGGAGGGAGCGCACGGAGGCGTCGTCTGCCTTCCTCTCCTGAGCTCTTTAATCAGCGGCATCTGGCGGGGTACGCTGGCCACAACACCTTGCACTCAGGGAGGGGCTGGTTGGTCTGCGTGTCCTGCAACATGCACTGCCTGTTCCCTGGTTTACAGCAATTCCAGGTTTGAATTCTGCTGTCGGTGCCCCAGCAAGTGGTAGTGTTTACTGTCCAACGCTCGGAGCAAGCGTGTCCTCTCTGCCCTGTCCCCACCTGCAGGCCCTTGGTTACCAGGTAGGACACTTCCACTTCTGGCCATGGCAGAGTGACCGGTACTAGACGTGCCCTCCTGCCACAAACAGCTATAAAATTGGACAGATACAGGGACAACTGTTTTCAGGCGTTGCATGGCAGGCAGAGCTACTGTGAGCCACAGGCCATGTCAGCTGGCTTTCTACCTGGGGACGTTTCCCCGACCCTGGAGGTGGGGCCCAAGGTGAATCCTGATCTCTCTGAGACGAGGACACAGACCAGCGTCCAGGGTTGCAGTTGCTCCCAGAATCTGAGGGGCCACTGAGCATCCTTGTCTGAGGCTGCCTTCCACAGAGGCAGAGCAAGAGGCCTGAGGCCCAGCGAAGAGCAGAGAAGGGAGATGCTGCGTTCCGCCCCCCCCTCCACCCTGATCCAAGTGGGGTCCTCCAGGGCATCACAAGCACAAGCTGAGACCCCAGAAGGCCAGGCCTTAGGAATGAGAGGAAAGGCCACAACGGGACCAAATGGAACAAAAACGGACCCAAAGCAACAGACCAGGCCTCCATACCTGCCTGCCACAGGCAAACTCAAGGGCCTGACAGAAGTTGCTCCTCAGTCCTCAATCCCGGCTGCCGCCAGGGCAGCACCAATGAGGCATACACCAGGGCACTCTGCCGGGCCCTCTAGGTACACTTCTCACACAAATCTTAGAGCAAAAGAGCAGACGTGGGAAGAAGGAAGGAAGCAGAAGAAGTGGCCATACTCAAGACAAGAAAGACAGATCAGGAGAAGCAGACCCAGAGATGCCTCGTGGGCTCCAGACGAACACGTCAACGCAGCCACTGTCAACAGTGCCAGGGCCCCGAGGATGTCGTGGGGAATCTCAGTAGGGACAGAAACTCTATCAAACAACCTGATAGAAAGTCCAGAACGAGAGAACACAGTGTCTGAAAGGAGCGATTCACTGGAGGGTCTCAAGAGCAGAAAAAGGTCTCGTGAGCAAGGAGATGAATAGGAACTATCCAGCCCAGAGAAGAGGAAGACAAAACGAAAGAGGAGCAGAGCCTCAGGGCTACCTGGGCGGACATGTCAACTGATTGTCGCACGTGGAACCCCAGAGACAAAGGAGAGGGAGCAAATGGGCAGAGAAAAAACTGCTTTACGAGGCGGAGCCGTCCCCAAG